ATCCATTTTAAAAGTATAATTAAAGATCTTTGATAAATGCATAAAAACATGTAATAACCATCAAAATTATGATATAAAACTTTCTATCACCCCCAAAATTCCCTCAAACCCATTTTCAGTCAATCTTCTACCCTTCCATGACCCCTGAGAGCCACTGATCTGCATCCTGTCACTTAATTTTGCCTTTTCCTGAATATTATATAGAAGGAATTATATGTAGTATTTTGTATTATACTTTACCTATACGAATATTATAAACCACAAAAGTCAATGTTATAATTTTTGCTTTAAACTATGAGTTGTACTGGACATAAAAAAATAAGAAATACAGTCTTTTCTATTTATACATATATCCCATTTCTGCTGTCTTCATTCTTTTCCATATATCCGAGCTTCCATTTTGCTTATTTCGCTTCAGCCTAAAAATATTCCTTTAGTATGGAATTCTGGATCTAGTTTTTTTTCTTTCAGTCAAACACAGTAGGCCCCCTTATGGTTTTGCTTTCTGCAGTTTCAGTTACCTCTGGTCAACTGCGGTCTGAAAATATTAAATGGAATATTCCAGAAATAAGCAATTCAGAAGTTTTAAATTGCGTGCCATTCTGAGTAGCGTGATGAAATCCCATGCCATCCTGCTCCATCCTGCCCAGGACGTGAGTCATCCCTTTGTCCAGTGTATCCACACTGTATATACTAGCCACCTGTTAGTGACTTAGTAGCCTTCTTGGTTATCAGACTGTCTGTTGCAGTATTTTACTTAATAATGGCTCCAAAGCGCAAAAGTAGTGATGTTGGCAATTCGGATATGCCAAAGAGAAGCTGTAGAGTGCTTCCTTTAAGTGAAAAGGTGAAAATTCTCAACTTAATAGGGAAAAAAATAATTGTATGCTGAGGTTACTAAGATCTACAGTACCTTTTATTACAGTATATTGTTCTAATTGTTCTATTTTATTGTTAGCTATTGTTATTAATCTCTTACTGTGCCTCATTTATAAATTAAACTTTACGATAGGTATGTATGTATAGGAAAAAACATAGTACATATAGGGTTTGGTACTATCCGTGGTTTCAGGCATCCACTGGGAGTCTTGGAACCTATCCCCCACAGATAAGGAGGGACTACTGTAACTTTAAAGATATCATTTCATTATTTTTTGGCCTACATTATTTTGATCTGTCATTTGTATTACTTCCCTGTAATATATAATATACTTCCCCCTCTCTCTCGTTCTCTCTCTCTCTTGGGGCAGGAGATGCTTTCAAAACTTTATCTATTGTTTTCAAGCATTTGACTTACATGGACCTGGTTGTGGTTTTATTTCTATTTATTCCATTTGGGTTTCTGAGATTCTTGAACCTATTAGTTGATGTTGTTTACCCAAATTTGAGAAGTTTCAGCCATTATTTTTTCAAATAAATTTTCTGCCCCAATCCTTTCTCCTTTTCTCCTGGGACTCCAGTTACAAGTAAGATATCTTGATATTGTCCTAAAATTCACTGAGACGTGTTCATTTTTTTCCGATATTTTTTCTTTTTGTTTTCTAGAATGGATAATTTCTATAGCCATGTTTTTATTAGTTCTCTATTGCTGCATAACAAATAACTCCAAAATTTGGTGACTTATAACAGCAATAATCATCCATCTCTCACAGTTTCTATGAATTCAGAATTCTGAATTATCTGAAATTCTGAATTGTTGGGTAGTTTCAGCTCAGGTCTCTCACGAGGTTACAGTTAGATGTTGTTGATTTCAGTCATTTGAAGGCTTGATTGGGGCTGGGGAATCTACTTTGTTGGTGGCTCACTTACATGACTAGCAAGTTGGTTCCTCTCCACATCAGCATCTCCATGGGGATGCTTGAGTACACTCATGTCATAGAAGCTGGCTTCCCTCAGAATGAGCAATCCAAGAGACCAAGGCAGAATTGGCAATGCTTTTGTGACCTTGGAAGTCACACACCTTCACTTCCACCATATTCTATTTGTCACATCGTTTGACCTTAATTCAATGTGGTAGGTGAACTCAGACCGGCATGAATACCAGGAGGTGAAGATCAGTAGGGACTATCTTGGAGGCCAGATACCATATTCTATCTTCAAGTTCACCCACTCTTTCTTCTGTAATTTGCACTCTTCTGTAAGCCCTTTAAGTAAGTTTTTTTTTTCAAATTTCAGATAGTTTGCTTGTTCGGTTCTTAAATTTCCAATTGTTTCTTTTGAATAGTTTTCATTTCTCTGATAGGATTACCCATCTGTACACTTATTATGATTATCATTTCCTTTAATTATTTGAACATATCTATAATAGCTGTTTTAAATCCTTTGTCTATGAATACCAACCTATGAATCATCTTAGTGTTGGTTTCTATTAATTAATTTTTCTTTTGACTGTGGTTTACACTTTCCTACCACTTCATATATTTAGTATTTTTTTTATTGTATACGGGATTGTCAATGATTCCTTGCAGAGATTCTGGATTTTGTTATCTTTTTCCTCAAGAGTTTTTTTTTTTTTTCTTCTAACACACAGTTAAGCATGGGGAGACTCATACTCCAAACCATGTCTCCTCTGTGGTGAAGAACAGCTAAAATTTCTTCTCAGATTTTCTGCCTTCCAATTATTGCTTTGTGCTTTCTACTAGGGTCCTTGAAGTCTCCCACACATATGTGTAGTTCAGAGGTTAGCCTAGTATTTGAGCATGGTTTTAATGTAGATTTTTGGATTCCTCCACTGTGGCCCCTTCTTTCTGGATTTCCTTCTCAATTTCTAGCCTCTCTGCCAGCCCTGAATTCTGTTTTCTGACACCTCAAGCTGCTGAGAGTTGTACTGCCTATAGAGCCCTCAGAGGAAAAGCCAAATAAATGTGCATCTCATTCAGAAGAGTTATTTTCTTTAATGGGTTCTATCATATCCAGTTTTCTGATTTTGGTGGTTCTTCTGCACATTTAAATAACTTTTTTTTTTTGTACTTAGTCTAGAGATTATAATGGTCATATGCAGGAAGGTTAGTCATACCAGCTATTCTGCCATACCAGAGTGGAACCTTGTCCATTTGTGTTTGAGTGAGACACAAAATAGCTCATTAGAAGTTTTGGGTCCCTGAGTCTGTTCAGTGATGGGCTTCACTGTACGGTGTTGAGAAAAATCAGGATGCTTTGTTGGGGAGTGTATCCTAATCGTCAGTATCGATAGATCCCCCTCTCCTTGGGTTGTTTAGTTTTCTCAATGAGGAATTCTCCAGTTTCTTGTATGGCTGGGGATGTGATAGATATAAGCCTATTTTTTTAGCATTCTGGGAGCTTAATGGACCTGGAAGTCTTACTGTTTATTATGTAGAATTTCATGAATCCCTCTGTTTTCAATATGGTTTCAACTGTACCTTGTGATCTAAGACATCATTTTTTGTTCAACATTTCTAAAGATTAAATCTACTCTCTTTTACAAGGGTTTGAGAAGTGTGTTTTTTGGCGGTGAATGGTAGAAGAAGAAATGTAGGGGCCTAAGAACTTCTTTTAAAAACGTCCAACTCGTGTCTTATCCTCTGCTCCACCGTTAGAAGGATCTGGTACTCCAATTCCCGAGCATTTCTGGAATTCTGTGGTAAGAATTAGACTTCTTCTCACTGACTTCTCCCAGATTGCAAATCTGGGTTTCAAGTCTATCCAGTCTTCTAAATCAGTTACCATTTGTCCAGCTGTTTCTAGATTCTAAGATTTAGTTGACATTATTTCTCCCTTTCTTTGTGGATATATGCCTTTGTTCCTTTTCTGGTCATTTTAGATATTTCATAAAAAGTGAAGATAAATTGCATGGATTTAATTGCTATTCCATCTGTTTTAAAATAATATTTATTTATTGCCATCTTCTATTTTTAAATAAAAATAAACTGCATCTATTAAACCAAATACCCTCTTTTTAAACTTTAATTAATAGCACTTTTATAAAAGTCAGTTATGAAAATCATAGGTGTCAAATGACTAAACTAATGTTGACTGTAAATATCAATTCTACAATCACCTCTGTACCATGAAATAGTGTTTATCTAGCTATTGTTCCCTAAAATAGCAGGAGAAAAAAAGGCTTACCCTCCCTTTCAATGTAATATGCTTGCTTTGGACTTAAGTTATAAAAGAATTGCTTGCAACAGACGAGTACCTACACGCAGTGCTGCCACTCAGGACTTGCCCCAAAGAAGTGTGAATAAAAATGGCCTAGCAACTTCTTCATGCCCATCCCTCCACCCATCAGTGCAAGCCAAGGGAAACATTTAATGAGAACTAGAATTTACTTTAGAGAGCTTTATTTGCCTGCTTTGCTTATAAACTTGATTTCCAACATGAAGATTAGTAAATTCATTCTCTGAAAACTAACAAGTCATGTGAGTATTTTCAGTTTCTCACCAAATAATTCAATATTTAACTGAATTTGTATGACTCTACATATACTTGCCATTTTTAAGGCCATTTGTAAATTGAGCATGTGCTCATCTTCATAAAATTACCTGTGAGGAAGAGTTTTTGTATTTATTTTTCATTTTGAATCAACTAAGGATCACATTCACATCACTAATTAGTTAGATTTTTGCTTGTTTTGTTTTTGTTTTTTCCGTAGTTCACCAATATTGCACAAAAGCTTTTAAGAGTAAAAAATAAACCAGTAAATTAGAGGAGAATGTCGGATTGTGTTTACTGGTGTTATCAGGAATGGGGACTTATGGAGAAGAGTTTAGTGCATGTTGAAGGAAAGTCAGAAAAAAAAGACTAAAAGAACACCTGTGAAGTAAGATTAAACAGCCTAGAGTTATTTAGCCAGAAATGAGATATGATGTAATAACTGTCACTATATATAAAGATTTATTACAGAATATAATGACTAATTGTTCATCTCTGCTGAAATCTGAAAAGACAAAAGTTCAAGGGTTGAAATATAAATGATATATATTTAACCAATAGTTAGAGAATAGCCTGAAGGTTGATAGACAGATACTAGAATGCTGGTGATGGGACACATCTCTTGGGAAGAGGAAAGAGCTTCAAATGTAGCAATATTCTCTGTCACGAATGATGACAGGTCTTGCCTTAAGGTAGAGGGCTGGACTGGTTGGCTTCCACAGGGTCCTTCCAGAGCTGTAATTCTCTGGGTCACTTCTGTTGCTAGCCTTCAGAGGCTGGGAGTGAACTAGACACAGCAAGTACCTGCCCTTTCAGGAGCTCCAACAGTACCAAAGGAGGCAGTGCCAGCAGCAGCATAACAGTGTCTATTCCAACTGAAGACTTCACTCAAAGGTGAGTCAGGTCAGCGTGAACCCAGGTGCTTCCCTTTCCTCTAGCTTTCACTCGGTCCAGGCACAGGCGCCCTGGGGATCTGCGACCACAGGACACCCTCCTCAGCCACCAGTATAAGCTTTGACAGAGGGAGGAACAAGGGATGGCTGGTTAGCTAGTGCTAGGTGGGAGGGACTCGCCACCGAGACGCGCTCAAGGAGGAATGAGTTGCGCCGACAGCCAGGTCCCTTTCCCACCATCCTGCTGGGCCACCCGGACCCATGTGGTTCCAGAGCGCGCTGGGCGCCCGCCACTCCCGGAGCGAGCGTCCCACTGCGCGCCGTCCCTTCCAGGCTCCCGGCTCCCGCGGGAGGGCGCGTGGGATGATGCTCTGGTCCTTGTGCCTTCTCCAAGCTCCTGCATCCGGAGCCGCCCTAGCCGGCACCGCCGCAGCCACTGCCGGGAGGGAGAAAGGAAAAAAGGGAGGGGGGCTGGAAAGGCTCGGCGGAGGGAGGAGGGGACGTGGGGAGGGAAGGAGCGAAGGAGGAGGGAATCTCGCTCCTTTGCAGCGCCTCCGCCTCTTCTTTCTCTGGCTGGCGGCGACTCGGCTTCTCCTTCCACACCCTCTCCCAGTTCCTCGCCCCCTTCTCCGCCCACCCTCCCTCCGGAGCGTGCAGAAAGGGAGCTGCGGCGCGAGCGCGGCCGAGGGCGCCGGGGAGGCGGCGGCGGTGGGTGTGTGCGTGTGTGTGAAGGACGCCACCTCTCGCTCCTGCGTTCGCAGGCGACGGCGGGCGGCGGGGCTTCTCGCTCCGGCAGCGGCGGCGACAGCGGCGGCGGCTTCCGGAGTCCCGCCGCGAAGATGCTCAAAGTCACGGTGCCCTCGTGCTCCGCCTCGTCCTGCTCTTCGGTCACCGCCAGCGTGGCCCCGGGGGCCGGGAGCCTCGTCCCGGATTACTGGATCGACGGCTCCAACAGGGATGCTTTGAGCGATTTCTTCGAGGTGGAGTCGGAGCTGGGACGGTAAGGCGAGGCGCGGCGGGCTGGGGCGCGCGGGGGACGCCCTGGACCTAGTGGAGCCTGGCGCCCTGCGCGCGGGCTCGGGCTTCTGGGGAAGCCTGCGGCGCGCACCGGGGGCTGTCCCTCTCGCTGTGACAGCTCCCGAGGATGCTGGAGCCGGCCTCCCTGCCCTTCGGTGTTTCCCCACCTAGTGTCCGGGAGAGAGCTAAGCACCTTTCAAGTGCGAGTTGGGTATCCCAGGGAGCGCCCAGGCCGGTGCCCCTGTGAGCAGCAGCCCGACTCTCTCCCACCCTCCCTCCTCCTGGTTGCTGCCACTTCCCTTGGGTGACAGCTCCCACTGCACGTGGGCCCTGCTTTCCCAACTGGTGTCTTTGCTCACGATTATAGCTTGCCAGAGGGTCCTGTTTGTCTAGTTATTTTTTGGGGTAAGGGGCGGAGGGGGCCCCTCCAAATCATGACAGAATTATTGAATTAGGTTCTTCCTCCTTCCCCTCATCAAGCTCTCCAAAACAAGTGGCACTAGAAATTAAATTTAAGTACTAGCTTCCCTGCAGAGTCTGCTCAGGAGTGAAGGGGGGATGAATCATTTAAGAGAGTTGAAGGCAGAATAATGAACTAGTGTGGCTTTAAACAAAAAAAGCAGCACATGTGCTCCAGGCAGTGATAATTAGTGAGAAGAGTTCTACAGCGCTTCTTTCGTGTGCTAGAGTGATTTATTTAAATTATGTATGCAAAAAGGTATCTCCCTGGGGTTGCAGAAATGTCCCTCTTCTGAAGATCCAAACAGGTGGTGGTTTTGTCATGTGAATGCCGTATTCTCTCCTATTTTTATCCATTGAAAATTATTTTTTTCTTTCCCTTCCTTTCTTTTCCCTTCTTTCTTTTCTGTTATCCATAGGTAAGGAGACTTCTTTTCAATACACATTTTAGATCCAGGCCCTTTGTTATATGGAATCTGAAGATATAATTTCAACTGTTAACAAGTTGAAGCTTCTGTACTTAATGCTTCTTTCCAATTTTATTTTCCATTCTTTTTTTGTTGGAAAGAGTTTAGCTAACAGCCATTTTCTTTTTTATGCCATTGGAGACCACAGTGCAGGATTCTGAATGTTGGTACTTAGTGGGAATGTGTAAGGGTCACCCTTCCCCTCCAGTTTGCCACTACTATTGATGGCTCACTGAGTACAGAAGGTGTGTAAGAAAGGGAAAACTTCTGAATGAAAATTTAGTAGTTTGTTGTTGTTTAAAAATGTTTCAAAAATATTTGAACATTGAATCATGTATACATAAGCATCCTGTTTTGACCAAGTTTTTCAGTGTTCATCTGAAGATCTGCTGTTGTATGTATTCACTAGTAGGTAAAAAATGAAATGCCTCCTTCTGTAAGGTTTGAAACCTACTATAATTGTACGATGAGCTGCAGTGAGGCAGTGTAAACTTCTGATTCAAGAGATAATCTACTTAAAATTGTTTACTTAGTGTTTTAGAAACTGACACATAATAGAGGAAGTGCCTGATGGTGCTTTAGGGACCGTCCCACCACCAAGTCTAACTGCTTTCTCAGTAACGTTTACCTTAGAAGCCTCTAATTAGCTCCGACTTATCCTTAGCACACATTATCTTTATGAATAACTTCTCCATCAGGAAAGTCAAGAAATTTCCTTTAATTTGAGGAATGGGAAAGTGGGCAGAAAGAAAAAATAAACTGCCAGTTGCACACATATACGGATGGTAGACTTCATAGGGAAAACCTAAGGAATTTAAGTTATTTATTTTTTTAAAAAAAGCTTGGTATTATATTTTGCAGTAAATTTTGGAGGACAAAAATAAATCAGTTATATATTGCTGAGATTCTCACTCTGCTATCTAGTCGTTTGATTACCTTGAAAATCACAGAATTAAAATATTTTGAGAAAAAAGTTAAACATTCTTATTTCTGCTCTTTTTCGGTAGTCATGTGTATTAGGTAAGTTCTCTGTAGATGGCAGTATTGGTGAAGTACATGCTTACTCCATTTGGTTGAGACTTTGAGAAATATCACTTCATCATTAGTTATTGTTTTCAACAAAATAAACCTAAAACATACAGCAACTATGTTACTGATATAATTACTAAGAATCTATAAAGCCAGAGAATGCAACAGAATTATAATTCTGAGTATTGACTGAGTGACAGATGTCCTCTTCCTTCCTGCACTAGTGATGAAGTGGAGACTCATCAGTTTTGGTTTCAAGTCTTTATTCTCTTTACTCCCAGTCTTGCGCCAAATATGCCTGCCAGTGGTGACTCCAAGATCAAGACATTTAATTCAGAGTAACACCGTTGTCATTAAGATGCTAAGAGAACAGTGTTGTGTAGTGCCATTTGGGTTAGTTCCAGGGTGTAGGCAATCCCCTTTAGATTAAGTTAATTTTTGAATACTGTAGTCATTCCTCTATTACAATTATCTGTTGTAAGCTGGTGACTCCTGAATTCAAGAAGATTGGCCATGTGACTATTAGGACAACACATCCTGAGGATGTGTTTGGGAATTTCAGGGAGCCGAATTCCCAAGGCTATAACCACCTGAAGCCCCTGGATGGTGCTGGCAGCACTGGTCTACATGTGGCCATTCAGACCAGGGCGGAAGCTACCAGGGTAGCTTTCTTTTTGTGCTGGGGGAGTGGTGGTGGTGAGGGAAATTATTTAAGAGTTTTAGGCAAACTAATTTGATTTTTCAAAAATCACATTTGAAAATACTGCTTTATTTATAAAGTTTGTCAAAAAGTTTACAAAAATCATGATACACCAACAAATTTAACTCTACTTAAAAAGTTGAATTGGCTATGATCCTATTCAGGGCTCCATGTCCTGGAGAGCGGTTTGGTCCTTTGCCCAGTGATTTGAGAAATTGGCCTTTTAAAGGCTTTTCCAAGGGAGAAGGGAGGCTGACTCTGGTCCAGATTTTGTCCTGTGGTTTGGCACATGGAGGGACAGGATTTGGCCTGGGCTGCTCTGTGGTGGGGACTTGGCCTGGGCATCCAAACCCATGTCCTGTTTTCCATTATTTCTCACCTTTCTGTCTGTGATACGAGATTGAAAGAATGTAACAAAACCAGATGTATTCCCACACATACAAGTTCAGGGAAACCAAATGAGAGATAATTAGGATAAAAGAAGAATTGTGTTAAATTATTTTAGAATCAATTTTTTAAAAAATTTCCATTCCATTTACTATAGTTTTTTTAGGCTAGTGACTTTCAATCCTCACCCCTGCCCCCACAACTTGATTTATAATAAAAAAAACATTTATATGGCAACCCAATTTAAGAATAATTATATTTGAGCATAATATCTAATACAATTTAAGCATAACGTATATATAGGATCCCTCGCTATATGTATTATTGCTTAGGAACCAAATAGATTTAGATAGTGAGACATATGTGTGTATATAATAGAAACAATTTTCATAAAACAATGTTTATTCTTATTACCAACAATATGCTCTTATATTTCCTGTTCTATGCTGCTTGATTTTCTTCTATTTCATTAAAAAATATTGGCTGAACCCATGTGATTTCACATCCCACTAATGGGTTGTGACTCAGTTTGAAAATGCTGCTTTAGGCCATAAATCTGTGTATGCCAGAGGAAAGTAGGAGGCAGAGTCCTTTTGAAAAATGCCCTGCAGACCTATTGGTAACATTGAGTGATCTCCATTTGCACAGCTCTGTGGAGAAAAATTCTCCCATCTTTGGCTCCAAGTCATTTTTGGGTTTCCCCTTTCAAACATTTTGGAAAAACTCTGGTGTCTCCCCAAAACCTGCTGGGTGCACTGTACTCTGGACTGGCTGAGTGGCCCAGGAGGCTGGACTGGGAGCGCCTTCACTGTGGAGGGGAGAAAGTCAGAGGCCTGAGCAGTGGTGTGTTCCACTCGTAACACATAACTTCGGCCCCAGCTAATGGTCAGCAAACACTTTCTTGTAAAGAAACCTGAAAACTGTGCAAAATGGGCTTCTGTAAGAGCTCATTTTCTCACAGAAGGGCTCCAACCAGTGCTCCTGGCTGGTGAGGAATGAAATACTTTCTTTTGCCTTTCTCTTTCCTTCTCTTGGTTGGAGCCCCTTCCTGAGCCTTTCTTAGCCTGTGCTTCTCGGGCTTTTGGTCTTTCCCTCACACTTTCCTTTAAGGCCCCACAGCCTATCCAGGGTATACTGCTGGCCACAGATCTCCTGCCACATGCACTGCACTTAGTGTCTTAAGCTCTTTTGGGGATAGTGTGTTTTTTATCTGACTAGGAGTTTAAAATACACCTGTTTGGTCTCTCTCTTGTTCTCTGTGTGCTTAATTCTTTTCTCAGACAGGCAACTCAGGAGCAAGGTGGGATTGCAAGCAGGAGAATCAAAACTGGGGCCCCACGGGCTCTTTGTGTAAACGTTGACTGTCAGCTCCTGGAAGCCAGGGTCTGTGGGTTTGGCTGATTCACTATTGTGTGCTCATCGCCTAGTACAGCTCAGTACTCAGCAGGTGCTCCACAAATGATTTTAAAGAGAATGAATGAATGATAATGAAATGGACTAGGCATGGTGGGCATGCCCCCTTCCTCATCTTTGAGATGTGGTCTGTGTTGGTCCTGATGTGATGATCTCGGTTCTAGTGGCCCAGGGACAGGGAAATCCCGTGACCTGTTTATTTTCTCCATAAAACTTTTGTGACCATGACCCTAATCTCACTCAGCGCTGGTTTCCTTTCTTCACAGTGCGAGGATGATAACTGCCACCTGTAGCTGGTAGGTGTTGAAAATAATGCTGCTTTTCTGTTGGCAGAGTGTTTTGTGGCTCTGAAATCAAAGGGATTCAGTTTCACCTTCACTCTCATTTTACCACAGGTGTGGCAGAATTAGAAATTAAATCAACTTGAACTTAAAGGCATGAAATGCCACCAAGCTATACCAACCACTTACGTTAATACATAGTAAATGCTAAATTTGGAAATACACTCATTGTAAAGAGCCTTAACAT